TTCAACTGTCCCCCTCTTACAATGCTGTGATTGCTAGTATCACTCAGTCCTCTGTGAACAGTAAACAGCCATCAGTGTGCTAATGATCTGTTGTTAGGCTGATGGTCCTTCTTGAGCATGTGATCAGCTGGTTTTGGTTGTCAGCAGCAAAACTGGTTGATCCACTCTGAGACGGTGCTATTTAAGAGACTGAGCTGAATACAGCTCCTCAGACAGAGGAAGTCTCTCGGATGAGAGACGAAACGTTTCTACATTTTTTTGTTGATTTGCTTTGTTTTGTTTTTTTGAATGTCCAGAGGACCAGATTTAACTTTTTTAGACAGTTTTGTTATTATAATCCATCTACTTGTTTTACATTTATAGTCCACTTGATGGCGCAGTAGAGCAAATAAAGCACATGGCATGTCGGGTCATGAGTCGAGCTATTTGATGGAAAGCCTCAGTGCTTCATGAAGCTTCATCTTGCCATCACTACAGCAACTTGCAGAACTCAGGGATCACTGGAAACTCAGGAGACAGATGTGACGGGAGATAATGCCAGGACAAGGAGGAAGACAAGCACATGGGCTTAAATACAGACACTAACGAGAGCAAACACACGACACCTGTCAGGATCACAGGTGTGGGGAATTGGGGTAATCATACAAAGGGAAACAGGACTGAGACACACCACCAGAGGGCACAATCCGCTGAACACGATTTGCCTGAGCCAAACTACTACTCTGACATGACCCCACACAAACACCAAACTTAAACATCTTGAGGTAAAAAAAAATTAAGTTTAGCTTCAGCTGCTAGTAACTGAAATAGCTGTTCTAACTTTCTTTAGCTCAAAGTTTAATTAACTCTTTATTGGAATCCTTATCAATGAAGATGTCAGTTTAGTTGGGATTTTATTAATCAGAGTGGAATATCAGTACACAGCTCTGTGAGTTTCTCTAGTTTTTTTCTGAATATTTTTAGAACTGATTGGACCTTCTTCACCATCAGCTATTATATAAAGTGTTCTGCACAGACATTGGTATGAACAGTTGTTGCATTATGTTCAGCCAAATAAATGCAGCGCTGATGTTACATTCACAGCTGTGTAGAAAACAGCTTACAGCCACAGCACACACAGTTTACAGTGGTGAAGTTTTATATCAACCCCCTGTGTGACCTGGCTCTGGGTGTATCTGTGTACACATTGTAAACTAGATTGTAACTACCGGTAGGTATGGATGCTCTCAATCAGAAATGTCAACTTGCATTTTAATCAGCCAAGATGGATACTAGTAACAGGTTTGAACAGGTCATAAAGGTGGTCATTTTAGCATAAGTCTTAAAATCATGCAATATTTAGGGTATTAATATGTGTACAAAGACAGCAATCAGTTTGTTAACAGTGTTTATTGTAGAAATAATGAGAATTAACAATAAGAATTCAAATTTTATTTTTGCTTTGGTTGTCGAGGGATTTTTGGCCAATGTTTATGGATGTTTTAATTACTTTGGCTGAGAATGTTAACTGCACATGAACCATGTGTTTGAGACAGCAGAGAGTTGATTTCTCACTCAGAGAGGACTGAATGTGAGTGTGGCTTTTTTGAATAAGTAAAATGAATAGAGGATCTTTTTTATCCAACATTAGTTACCTGCATGTCAGTGCCCACCGTTTCAAAGGTTCAGATCTATGTATTTTCAAATGCTGAATCTGATGTCAAATTTTATGCCAAATGGTTTTGGTCATGTGATAGAAGATAGGATCTTTCAGTTTAAAACCTAATATACAATACAATACAATACAACTTTATTTATGAAGCACTTTGAAACAACACCATTGGCCAAAGTGCTTGACACTAACACATACAAGCATAAAAAACTATAAACTCAACAGATACCATAAAAGTAATGAACTACCCAATCATAAAACAGCAAACAGTAAAAACAATAAAAACATATCATTTAAAAACCGTAAAACCAACATTTCAAGCTGAGTTAAAAGCTAAAGAAAAAAAGTGTCTTCAGAGAAGATTTAAAAATAGGAAGTGAGTCAGCTTGTCTATGTGCAAAGGCAGCTTGTTCCACAGTTTAGGGGCAGTGACTGTGAATGTTCGGTCACCTCTCAGCCTCCTGTTGGACTTTGGGACGACCAACAGCAACCAGTCTGCTGACTTGAGAGAGCATGAGGGAATGCACAGCTGGAGCAGGTCAGACAGATACTGTGGGGTGAGACCATGAAGACATTTGAAAACAAATAAAAGAACCTTAAAATTAATCCAGAAAGGAACTGGGAGCCAGTGTAGTGATTCTAAAACGGGTGATGTGCTCTCTTTTTCTGGTACCAGTTAAAAGGCAAGCCGCAGAATTCTGAACCAGCAGAAGTCGAGTCAGTAACAACTGGCTCAGACTGACATGAAGTGAATTACAGTACTCTAGATGAGTTGTAATGAACGCATGAATTTAAATCTTAAAATGATGTTGTGACAGGAATGGTTTCAACTTGGCCAGTTGTCTCAAGTGATAAAAGCTGGACTTGATCACTGATTTAATCTGTGCATGGAGTTTAAAATCATTGTCCAGCCTCACAGCCAGGTTAGTTGCTGTCTCAGTCAGATGTTGTGTTAAAGGACCCAGATCAGCATGAGCTTTGGAACCATCACTGGGCTTAAACAACAAGACCTCAGTCTTTTTCCTCATTAAAATGTAAGGAGTTCTGTGACATCCATGCTCTGACTTCTGCCATACATTCCAGGAGTTGGTTCTTGGAGGGCTGTTTGTCTTGGTTTAATGGAACATAAATTTGGCTCATCAGCATAAAAATGAAAAGAAATGCCATTTTCCAGAAAATATATCCCAGAGGGAGTAAATAAAGGGAAAACAGAAGGGGTGCAAGTATAGAACCCTGAGGTTCTCCGCATGTGAGAGGTGCTACAGAGGACTCCACAGAACCAATACGCACATAAAAACTTCTCTCTGTAAAATAAGATATGTCCTAACATTCTTTGAACACTCCTTGGTTTTATATAAAACTATTATTTTTTAGAACAATAATGATCTAAACGTGTTCCTGTTTATAAAACATATTGTGTGCCCTTTTGGGATGCCAAATTTTTAATTATGTTTGCATACCTCTATGTCTTGTAGCTTAGTTGAAGCTGTCAAACTGTGTCTATCATCATATATGAATGGATTTCGGAACACTTTCTGCTACATGTAGAACTATTTTTGACTTCATGTTGTTTATTAGACAATCTTGCTATTTATTAGACACCTCCTTTTGTACATTGTCACTTATTATATAGTTATGATTAATAAGCAACATTTTAAAATTCAAGACTAAAGTCCCACCTTTTATATTACAAGTACTTCATTTTGCATTGCTAAATGCCAACCCCGACACCCACCCATGGGAATACAGGAAATATCTGATTGGGTGTCTTTTTAATTTTTTTTACCACTATTATGTCTTTTACAGGATGGACAGACATATTGCAGGAGGAGACCCTGTGACTGTGGAGACCCAGATGAGGACTTGTTCTGCTGTCCGATCTGTGACAACAGGCCTAGCACTCAGTGTCTGGACCAGAGTGGGCATACACTTTACCACAGCGGAGCAACTTGGCTGTATGGTTGCCAGCAGTGTCGCTGCATGGTTTGTACATAGAAACAGCATACACACAACAAACTGGCACATGTTCAGTAATGGAGTAGGTTGTACATGTTTTACCAACAGAAATAAAGGCAGTTTTTGAAACTGAATATTTAAATGTGTTAAACACCTTGGTTAGAAGGATTGATTATATAGAAATTGTAGAATCTTCTCGTCAACATGAAGCTGGGATGTCTGTGTGTCCCTGAACAGCTGCTCAGCTGTGTGTGACAGCTGACATCATTACTAACTCTCAAATTCAAGATGTCACAACATATCAGCATGTGAGCTGTAACTGTATACATTTGTCAAACCAATGCATACACAATAACATTTTTATAAATCCTGGTTTGTGCCTCTGCAGGAAGGGGAGGTAGACTGCTGGCCTCTAGTTTGTCCTGCACTGACGTGTGAGTACAAGGCGGTGGCAGAGGGTGAATGTTGTCCACGCTGCGTCACAGACCCCTGCCTGGACAATAACCTGTCAGATGATTTCCGGCAGGCGTGCAAAGACCCTACAGGTGACACCCATCTCAGTGGGGACACATGGCACATGCCCAAGTCACCCTGCACCACCTGCAAATGTAAGGTAAGGAATAAGTAGCAGGCAGTCGTTTTGTCAAGCACTTACCCCATCATTTAAATTCTGCATAATTATTTTTTAATTAATAGTGTATGCTTTAAAATATTTTGTTTATTATGACATTATATATTCTGCATTATTGTGAAGTGTTATGTTTCATATACAGTACACTATTCACTTTTTATGTCAATATATCAAGAATTATTTTAATCAGGAGGCCAAAGAGTCAAACAGCAAAAAACCTTTGTGAATATAAAATGTATTCTTTCCCTCAACCTCGGTTGTTGAAGTCTGGTTGACCACTCTAACTGGACTCAGAATTAAAGAAAAATACAAGATTTTAAGAAGGAGTATTGGGGCCACACTAAGAAAAGGAAGTTACGCTAAGGAAAAAAAAACAAGAAAAAAGTCACGAAATTACGAGAATAAAGTCAATATTACAAGAATAAGTTTAAATAATAAGAAAATAAAGTCATATTATTATGAGAATAAAGTAGAAATAGTATGAGAATAAAGTCATAGTATTACAAGAATAAACTCGTAATATTACCAGAATAAAGTTGTAATATTATCAGAACTCTGAGATGAAAAGTCAGTCTTACAACTGTGGTAAAATGATGAATGTTGACGTCGGCAGTACAACAGCAGGGGGCCCAGTGCACTGTTGCATATGGAATCTTATGATAAACTGAAGCTGTGTGGCATTGCAATGTATGGCTGCACTGATGGATTTAGTCGTAACATAATATGGACGGAGGCATATTTCACAAACAGTGATCCAAAAGTGATCACGGATTACTTTATAAACACAGTGACTCACGTTGGAGGCTGTCCACAGAAGGTGCAAGCCAACTCAGGACGTATTACGAGTTTATTCTCGTAATAATATGACTTTACTGTTGTAATATTATGATTTTACTCTATTTGGACTTTAATGTGATAGGACTTTATTTTCGTAATATTATTACTTTTTCTCGTAATGTAATTTTTTTTTTCTTAGCATGACTCTGTTGTAAGATTTTGATTATGGATTTTTTTTTTTTTTACAACCAAGTGACTAGTTAGCCATGCGGCCACATTTTGTGTATGGCTTTTTTTTTTATCACAGCTCATTATTGGGCGCGTGGCAAAGTTTTATATGCCATGCACTTTGTTCTGTTTCCCAGCTTCGGCTACATTTGGTTGATATCTGTCCACTTCGTACCCACCTTGGCAGCCACATCCACATTTGTTTGTCCAAACTAAGAAACCCAGCAAATGTTTGGAGTCATGTTGGAGACCCCTTTGTGAATCTTCAACTAGCTACCATCAGTCTCAGCCCAGCAAGATGTTACCTACAGTAATGACACCCTTACCAGTCAAGGAGATTCATCTTCTTCATTGTGTATAGGAATCCAAGCCTTTTTGTTCACTTCACTTCACATCACTTCACTTTATTAGGTCTCCGAAGGGCAATTCATTTACAGTAAGTAGCGGTGGTGATGACAGCCAGCACATTCATACAGACTTAAAACATGACAAAATTAATAAAAAACAGGATTAAAATGCACATTCTAAACAATATTAAAATATATAAAAACATTACTAAAAAGAAGAGAGTGAGAGAAAAAAGAGTTAGACTGTGATAATTCAACTGCAATCCTAGAATAAGGCCTTAAATCTATTTTTTTGTTTAAAAGACCAATGACTGTGGGGATGAAAGAGTTCTTTATTGTGTTTGAGTTCTGTGTTATATTTGGACTGTCCAATGTGTATTTTAATGCAAATGAGTCCAGAACCACCATTGTTCAGTTGTTTCAGTCTTGTTTGAATGGATCTAATAAAGTCTGATGTAAAATCAGCCTCTTTAATTGCAACTTTAAGCAACTGTTTTCACGTTTTGCCCACAGAAGACACTGAACCTAATGACATATGGTGAATTGTGCATTGCTTTGATTTACCAAATCCCTACAGCTAAAAAGTGTAAAAATAAGCATGAGCCATAAAGGATAAACAACAAACCACAGTGGATAAATTGACAGGTTGCAGTGAACCATAATCATCCCTTGAGTTTAAATATCATTATCTCAACTTGATCCTTTTAGCTACACTTGTACAACAATTGGTTTTAACTGTTTTCCAGGAGAAGGGAAGCATTAATTACTCAAGGAATGGGTCAGAATTGTTTTTATGGATTAAAAAGTTACTCTGTAAATGTTATCTTAGATCAGTTGAAATACTGCCTATATTTTATATATAGCCAGTCTGTCTGGCACCAACAACCATGCTCTATGTTCTCAGTCACTTAAATCTCCTCTCATCCTCATTTGATGCTTAGTTTGAACTCCTGCAAATCATTTCAGCACGTCTAAATGCCTGAATGTATGGTTGATGGCATGTGATTGTTTGTGTTAACAAGCAACTGAAGTGGTGTACAGTAGGGGTGTTTCATAGCCTGCCCGCCCCCCCAGTAGTCCAAGTTCAAGTTCTTTAGTGCCATTACCATCTCATGTGGTACATGACATGGAAGAAAATTACTTACATAAGTAGTAGTAGTAGTAGTAGTAGTAGTAGTAGTAAGTAGTAGTTTATTTTAGTATTTATATACAGATATATATTGCCGTTTTAAACCTTTCCCACACTCTTTTAATGTTCCTAACAATTTTCTAAACTCTTACACCTTTTAAAAATATTAATCTAAATGAGTACTCACCAGAGAAGATGAAGAATTTTGTGGACATTTTTTTTGTAATGGAAAATAAAATAGGCAAAAGTGAATACATACAGTAGATATATGATAATTATATAGTATTGTTGAACTTCTTTAGTGTGAAGCTGCACATAGCCTCTATGTACAGTACCCCTGCATCAGCAGCATTAATCTTAGACACCTTCATGTATGTATAACATGGAGACGTGCCCACATTATAATAGTTTTATGACTCTTGAAATTATTTTTGTCACAAGTATGGTCAAGTTCACTAATATCACGGACAGAAATGATACTTTGATGTGTCTGTGCATCTGATAGAACATTTTTCCTTCAGCAGCAGAAATAAATGATGGCTCTAAACATTGTAATGAATACATTCTAGGTTTATGGTAAATATATAGAAGGCAATGCTTAAGTTTAATATATTTTCTTCAACCAACAATAATTTTAGGCATGTTCCACATTGCGATAATGCAATCAACATGTTCAGTGTTTTACATTATACAGTATTTAATGTTTTTTTCTTGTCTTGTGACCTTCAGAACGGGAGCGTTTGCTGCTCGGTGGATCTCGACTGCATTCAGAACAACTAAAACTCTCCTCTCCTCCCATCACGTCGGGACCATCAGTCTCTCCACCAGTGGACAACCTTCTTTCTAGATTCTTAGGACATACTCGCGCACACACACGTGCATGGCATTGTGCGCACAGGAAACACACGCTGGACAGATGTGGGTGTTGAAGCTGTGCTTTAATGCCGCCACTCAAACGTCAAAACAGTGAGCGGGTGTGTGAGTGTGTGTGACTCGGGAGGGGACGGAGGTCACGGTCACTCTGGCCACAGTCACTGCGTCGTGTGTGTGTTGATTTGATTTTGTTTATTGTCTTGGGGTAATCTTTGTTGTGTCACAAACAAACATCTGGCCACATGTTGGGTGCATCCTCTCTGTACCGACTCACTGAACGGAAAATGTCCCACGTGTTCATCTAAAATGATTTGGAATGTAAAGAACGTGAGTTTAAACTAATATGACGTGTGATCGCATCAGTTCAGCTTTAAGTTCTATTTTGGCGACATTTTCAGATCATTTATCGGTTCAACTTTACTCTGACTGAGACAACACCTTCTACCATTTCTCTTTACGCCACAAGCATTTTATAACGTCAAGAGTCAGACTGGCATGACTAACAATGAACTGTGGACTACGTTCTTCTTGGATTCTTTATTCCTCAGCAGCTCCTGACAGCAGTCACAGCGGATGATTTGAATCTTTCTCTTTCTGAGCTCTGCATCTCGTTTTGTCACGGCCATCACCTTTTTGTCAACTTTCATCACCACACTCATGAATTTCCTCTCTGGCATTGCACTTTTCATCTTGCATGGCAGCTCCACTTGAGGCAAAAGGGAATCATGTCGGTAGGAAACAATTAAAAAGTGAGAATGTCTTCGATACAATAACTTTTTTCAATACATCTACAGGGTTTTAGGTCTGTGCAGATACATGGATAAGCTATGCTGACATATTGAATCTGCTGATGGCAGGTATATTGTATGTTCTTGCCCCAGTTGAAGTTGGGTGGACACTTACAAAGTGTTCACTGGAAGCATTTGTTCTAAAGGTAGTTAGTCTACAGGTTCTTAAAATAAATCAAATTATTTACAGTGTGCAGGCTTTGAACTGGGACAGACCTCACGCAGGCCATTAACACATCACCATCAGCATCACTGTCCTCTCTTTGATGAGGATACCCACCAGATGCTTACATTTACAACCATCCCGTTTCATCAAAAGAGAGCGAAAGCAGCACATCCGATTGCTGCAGGTCAGAACAAGCACAAGCCCAAGCTGTTGATTAAACCAGCACAACTTGTGATGACCTGGACTTTCTGCGTCTCCCGGGGCTCTTCTGCTCAGCACCATATGGCACACAGAATGACAGAGGGACAAAAAGAGAAATCTACAGAGAGTTGGGATAATTAAAGCCATGTCACGCAGCCTTGGATTTGAGTATGCCAGAAGGTCATCGAGTGCTGAATCTGTTTACAGACAGCCGAGCTTAATAAGGCAGAGCAGTCCGGTTCTTCTCCTGCTTCGGTTCACAGCTCTGAGACAGCTCCACTCTCCTGCTCTGGTTTTTTACGCCACACTTCTCTCCCAGATCCATAAGCTTGTCTAAAAGTGAAAATGTTCTCTTCTAAGTGTCGGTGTTGTTGTTGCACCATGTCAGTTTTCTCCCAAAGGACAAAGAAAAAAAAAAAAACATTTAAATAAGATTTTTGTTACTTGCACTGAAATATATTCTGTTGTACTAACACTGATCATAAAGTTGATAGCAGCAGAAATCTGACCAGTCATCTTTATATATATATATATAT